CCCGGGTTCCCGAGCCCTGACACCCTTGCTCCTAGTCCCTGCTGAGTAGTCCCAGGACCCCCAGTCCAAGCCATTTCCACCTGCGCTTCTCCATTACTCTCAAGCCACGGCCCGATTCTTCCAGAATCGTTTGCCATCCCCACCCGTGGAGTTCTTCCCAGATCGTGCGAAGCGCCCCGAGCCTTTGCATTGTCTGGATCCAACCTCCGAGTTTGCTCCCTGCGCCAACACCCAGAATCCTTCTGTGATGTTTTCTCCTCCACACGCCTTAGCTTTGCTGCCCCCTGAAGGATGGATCCCCTGACTCTTCAGACCCACCCCTCGACCTCCACAGGCCTAACTTGGCCAGAGCGAGGGGGTCATATAGGAGCTGAGTGCTCCAGATTTGAAATTCCCTTCCTCATTTCCTGGAGACTTTTGCCCGGCTCCGCCCAGCTGGATGACTTAATCTCTTAGTGTCTGAAGTGGGGCCCGCCGGTGTGGCTCAGTGGTTGGGCATCACCTGTAAACCAGGAGGTAACCGTTCAGGTCAGGGCACATGCCCAGGTGATGGGCTCTATCCCTAGTGGGGGGCGTGCAGGAGCCAGCCGAACAATGATTTTATCATTGACGTTTCCATATCTCTCCCTCTCTTTTCCTCTCTGAAATCAATTTTTTTATATATATTTTAAAAAAGAGTATGGAGTGGGGCCCTAGCTGGTTTGGCTTAGTGGATAGAGCCTCTGGAGTGCGACTGGCATGCAGACAGGGTCCGGAAGGGCAGTGCCTTGGTTGCAGGTTCCTCCCAGCCAGGGTCCTGGTCCGGGCTTATGCAGGCGGCAACACATCCATGTTTCTCTTTCTCTCTCTCTTCCACTCATCCTAAAAATCAATGGAGAAATATTCCCGGGTGAGGATTAACAAAAAAAAAAGAGTATGGAGTGGCCTGGGCCTCTACATTTTTACCAACCCTGAGTTACCTTTTACTGACTTCTCTGCACAGTAAGGAATAGCATAGGACTTATCTCTGCTTCTCCTTTGGCCATCTTTTCACTTCTGCCTTCTCTTCCTCGCTCTTAAGAATTATCACCTTGGCCCTGGCCACTGTGCCTCAGTTGGTTAAGCCTCACCCATGCTTGGAAGGGTTGCTGATTCCATTCCAGGTCAGGGCACATGCTGGAGTTGTGGGCTCTTACATGAATGTTTCTCTCTTCTCCCTTCCTCTTTCTCTGTAAAAATCAATAAACTATTCTTAAAGGGAAAAAAAATAAAAAGAATTATCACCATGGCCCCTGCCAGACCAGAAAGCCAAAGTACAGCCTTAAAGACCACCTAAGTGGCCTCCTATATATTTTTAAATAAATTTTTTTTTATTTCAGACAGAAAGAGAAGAGAGATAGAAACATCTATGATGAGAGAGAGTCATTGATCGGCTACCTCCTGCATGCCCCCTACTTGGGATCAAGCCCGAAACCGGGCATGTGGCCTTGACCAGAATCAAACCTAGGACCCTTTAGTCTGCAGGCAGACGCTCTATCCACTGAGCCAAACCAGCTAGTAGGGCTCCGCCCCCCTCCTCACCCGAAGATGTTTTTATGTTTGTTTGTTTTTCAGAGAGAGAGAAACATCAAAGTGAGAAAAATATTGATTGATTGCCTCCCATACACACTGCAACACAGGTTCGAGCCCACAACCTAGATATGTGCCCTGACCAGGAAGCAAACCCACAACCTTTCGATGTACAGGGCCACCCAGCCAGGGCTATATTGTTTCTAAATTGGACTGCCAAGTGCTGCCCATGCAATAGGTCCCTTCTTTCCCCACTTCTTTTTTGCCTTTACAGTGGGCCATGCATTTCTCTAGGCAAAGAAAGCCCTAGGTAAATTAGGATAGATTGCAAATATTTGTCCTTTAACTATACTCCTTTGTCTATTCCTCATTTCCCCAAAAAGGGGATTCTGATCTCTTGGTTATTCCTCTGATAATGTATTGGGACATACGTCACACCTCTGTGGAGTTTTCTGTTCTAAAGAGGAATGTAAAAGGAGTAGCTCATGAATGATGTAATTTCAGGCACTAGCACCAGAAAAAATGGAATCATTTTGGTCATTTCCTAAAGATGGGTGCATGTTAAGGTGGAGTATTCTTTCACTAGTGGGGCTTGAGGAGGTAGAAGAGGATGACCAGCCAGACTCCCATGGGATTGGGACTCCTTTGCCTTAGGTATTGCATGTTATGCTCAAAGATCTCCTTGGGGTGATGGATTAGGATTAAACCCAGAGCCATTGTTTACTTGTAGAGAGCGGACTAAAGAACAACTGGCAGCCCTAAAGAAACACCATGAAGAAGAGATCAATCATCACAAAAGGGAGATTGAGCGTCTGCAGAAAGAAATTGAGCGGCACAAGCAGAACATCAAGAAACTGAAAGATCATGGTGATGATTAAGTGCACACAGTTCCCCATAGAATGGCTACATACTGTCCACTTCTATGAAGACATAGTTCTGGTAACTAATATCTGTGCTGCCAGCAGATTATAATAAATTGTGATCAGTGAACTGTGTCTAATGCCTTCTACCGTCTGGAGAGGGGTGGGAACACTAAATGCTAAAATGTATCAGACAGGGTATCTGCACTTACAGACAAAGCACAGCAGGATAAGTGCTGTGTCACGTGGGGAGAAGGGGGGTCGGGTGTGACACAGGGAAAGGCCCCTTTCCCTGTCTGAGTCAGAGGTTCAGAGAAAGCTTCTTGAAGGGCAAACCCCAACCCAAGGTCAAGAGCAGCCTGGAAAACAGGTGAGTAGTTGCTTAAAAGGTACAATCCAAGGAACCATCAGTCCGTTTTGCATTTATAAAATGGAGTAGAGAACTCTTCATATGAACTAGTTATCCTTGTTCTAATTATTTTTGTGCAGATGGAGAGAACTGGAATTAGAAATGATGTGTTGCCTACGGTTAGTAAATTGGAGTTGAAATTTGGCATCTAGGGTTTTTGATTTCTAATCCAAGTCTATTAATAGCAGAGAATCACAATTATATCCTAGGTTATATTTTGCGAGCTTGCTCTTGATTCAAAGTAGACTTTAACAAACTAGTAGTATAACTCCTCTAAGCCCCCCAAAAAAGTTATTTTTGAGGTGATTTTTAGGGCCATTGGCAAGACATTTTCAAATCAACAATTCATTAGATCATTTGCCCCAGAATTACTATGAACAATTTGTTGCAAGACCCTATTATTACTTGTACACAAAGGCTTTAGGGCCATTGAATGGTAAAACCTTGGACAAGTCATTGGCCCTGCTCTTGCAGACAAGACACTAGATGGCCGTTTTCAAAACACTTGCCCGTGATGCTGCTGATGGAAAGTTTATAAATAGTCCTGAGGTATAAGTACTGAAATTCAAGTGGCCAACAACAAAATGACCTCCAAGACAAGGTACAAGAAATGACCATACTAAGGTCACATGCCTTTTTGAAAATTTTACAGCAGTACAAAATTTGGAAAGTTTACAAATGACATAAGGAACAAGTAACATCTTTCATTTTGCTTTTTAAAAAAAACCCTCACCCAAGGATATGTTTTTACTTATTTTAGAGAAAGGGGAAGTTGCCTCCTGTGTGCGCCCAACCAGGGATTGAATCCAAAACCTAGGCCCGTTCCCCATCCCAGAAACGAACTGGGAGCCTTTCAGTGCTCCAACCAACTGAACCACACAATCAGGATCATTTTGCTCTTTTTTTTTTTACTAAAATTAAAAAGGCATACAAAATCCCCTAAAAATCTAATGATGATTGGATAAAGCAAGCAGAAGTTGAAACTTTAAAATAAAGATGAAGAATCATAACGTGAATTCTTCAGTAAAATAATTTTTGGAGCAGCCTAATTTAAGACTAGCAAATGTTGCCCTGGCCGGTTTGGCTCAGCGTCAGCCTGTAGACTGAAGGGTCCCAGGTTCGATTCCGATCAAGGGCATGTACCTTGGTTGTGGGCACATCCCCAGTAGCAGGTGTGCAGGAGGCAGCTGATCCGATGTTTCTAACTCTCTATCCCTCTCCCTTCCTCTCTAAAAAAATCAATAAAATAATTTTTTTAAAAAAGACTAGCAAATGTCCATGATCCAGCAGCATCTGGGAAACTTGTTAGAAATGGAAATTCTCATCACAGACTTGCTGAGACTGAGGGTGGGACCCAGCAATCTTTTAACAAGCTCCCCGAGGTGATTCTGATTTGCACTAAAGTTTGAGGACCACTATACTACAAATACAGTAGTTTCTGAAATTTGCTGGCCTTGGGCATAGAACATTTTTGTAAAGGCATTTTATTAAGTATAATCATGATACATTTTTTAAAAGTTGAATTTATTGGGGTGACATTGGTTAATACAATTGTATAGGTTTCAGGTATACAATTCTGCAATACATTGTCTGTATATTGTATTGTGTATTTACCACCCTGAGTCAAGTATCCTTCCATTGCCATAATAATAGGTTTTTTTAAAATTTCTTTATTGATTAAGTTTTTACATATGTGTCCTTATCCTCACATTACCTCCCATCCCCTACCCCCAACTCATGCCCTCACCCTCCTGTTGTCTGTGTCCATTGGTTAGGCCTATATTCTTGCATATAAGTTCTTTGGTTGATCTCTCCCCCCATAATATAGTTTTTAATATGAAAGGTATTTGAGGATTTAAAAATTAAAGTATATTAAACATTATTCTTGTACAAAACTTGAATATTTTATTTTTTAATCTTTTTTAAATTGATTTTAGGGAGAAACATCAATTTTTTTGAAACACCAATTTTTTGTTCCACTTATGATTTATTTGGTTGATTCTTGTATGTGCCCTGACGGGGGATCAAACCTGCAACCTTGGTATTATATCAGAACAATACTAACCAACTGAGTTACCCTGGCCCAGAATAACATTAACATTTTAGAACATAGCCTTCCATAGAATACAATTTGGAAAATACTATCCTGATTTATTGCATTAGTTTAAATTCTTTTTGTTTACAAGTAACAGAAACCAGCACTGGCTGGCTTAAGGAAGAGAAAGGTAATTTATTAAAAGAACAGGGGCTATTGTTTAAGAATCTCAAGAAGACTTGAACAAACAAAACTTGGAAAAGACAGGGGCCAGAGAACTCTGAGCAGATCTGTCTAAACAACTTCCTAACCACCTGTGTCAGAATCATTGGGGCCAGCCCAGCTGGGTGTCTCAGTGGTTGAGAGTCGACCTATGAATGGTTAGTTAGATTTCTGGTCAGGGCACATGCCCAGGTTGTGGGCTCCATCCTCAGTGTGGGGCATGCAGGAGGCAGCCAATCAGTGATTCTCTCTCATCATTGATGTTTCTCCCTCTCCCTCTTTAGAATGAATAAAAATATATATTTTTAAAAATCACGGGGCCATTTAAAAAATAAATATTTCAATGGAATTTCACACCATGAAGTTACTTAACAATTGCACAACAATTTATGTTCATGAAGCACTTTACAAATACTTTACTCATTAAATCTCAGTATATTTCTGGCAATGTGTCCATACCATTAGTTTAATTTCATAACCAAAGTAACTGAAGCAGGGGACGGTGAAGTAACTTTTTCAAGGTCGCACAACCAGGCTTGTGCTGAGCCCAGACTTGACTTCAGAACTCCTAGTCCCACAATCTCGAGTTGCAGTTCCAGTGTCGTGGTTCAGCTGCCTATTCGCTCCCTCCTCAGGGAGACAGGTCAGGGAGCTGCCTGGACATCTGGGAGCGGGTGGTAAAGGCAGAGGTTCCTGACAGTAAATGTTGAAGTGCCAGTACTTGGCATTGTGCTAGATTTTGGCTGTGCCGTGAATCCCATGAGCATGTCAATACTTGCCTATATAGTGCAAACACATTTGCAATAGAGCTGGGTTTAGAGTTTCACATCAGTAAATACAAAGTTGTAATCCTCAATCCAGGCTGTGCATTGAAATACCTGGGGAGTTTTAAAATTAAACCAATGCCTCAGGACCAATTAAATCCAAATCTCTGAGGTGGGGGCCTGGGCATGAGTATTTTCACAAAGCTCCCTAGGTTTTTCCAATAGGTGGCTTGCGTTGAGAACCACTGGTGTAAAGGACCCTTCCAGATCTTCTGCATAAGGTATGCGCTGCGGGTTGTTCACTGCATAACGACACCTAGTTGAAGGGGCCAGGGAGGACTGTGAAATTCTGCTCAACAAACAGTATACTCTAGTTTAGGGTAATATTTCTTCTGAAAAAAAGGGTCACCTTTTGTCGTCTGATTTCCATAAAAAGGACTCCGGTTCATTCCACTATCCTCAAATATGCATTGCTGCATAACCTACATATTCCATTTTCAAATCTTTTTAAATGTATAGATTAAAAATTAAGCCCTGGCCAGGTATCTCAGTTGGTTAGAGCACTGTCTGGATATGCCAAGGTTTCTGGTTCATTCACCAGTCAGGGTACATACAAGAATCAACCAATGCAGCCCTGACCAGTTTGCTCAGTGGCTAGAGCGTCGGCCTGTGGACTGAAGAGTCCCAGGTTCGATTCTGGTCAAGGCCATGTACCTTGGTTGCTGGTACATCTCCAGTAGGGGGTGTGCAGGAGGCAGCTGATCGATGTTTCTCTCTCATCCATGTTTCTAACTCTCTATCCCTCTCCCTCCCTGTCTGTGAAAAATCAGTAAAATATGTTTGTTTTTTAAAGGAATCTTTAACTCCAAGCACTGGAAAGGAACAAAAAGCTTGGGAGCAGGCAAAGGAACAAAGAGCATGGGGACACATGCCACTGCTTTGCTTGGTGCCACCTGGCACAAACTCACAATTATCAGATTCCTCCTTGTTCACTACTCTTCTTTAATTGGGTAAAATTCACGTAACAAAAAATTGCCCTGACCGGTTTGGCTCAGTGGATAGAGCATCGGCCTGGGGACTCAAGGGTCCCGGGTTCGATTCCTGTCAAGGGCATATACCTTGGTTGCGGGCACATCCCCAGTGGGAGGTGTGCAGGAGGCAGCTGATCGATGCTTCTCTCTCATCAATGTTTCTAACTCTCTATCCCCCTCCCTTCCTCTCTGTAAAAAATCAATAAAATATATTTTTTAAAAAATGAATCATTGCCTCAACAGCCCGCCCTGCCGAAGAGGCAGTGGAGGACACGCTCACAGAAGCGCTTTCCCAACGCCTTCCGCGGCCAGGCGCCGAGATGTGCAGGAGGTGGCTGGTCGATGTTTCTCTCTCATCGATGTTTCTGACTCTCTCCCTTCCTCTCTGTAAAAAATCAATGGAATATATTTTTTAAAAAAACAACGAATCATTAACCACTTAAAGTGTAAAATTCAGTGGCATTTGGTATCTTCAACATGTGCAAACACCACCTCTAGCAGTTTGAGTGTATTTTTATTACATCCCAAATTCCACACCCATTAAGCAGTCACTCTCTATTCCCCCAACCACCCAACTACTAGTCTGCTTTCTATCTCTATAAACTTGTCTATTCTGAATATTTCATATAAATGAAATCATATAATATGTGACCTTTTGTACCTAGCTTC